ACTTTATATTGATGATATTGAGAGAATTCGAAGAATTCATTCAGAGTTGAAAATTTTGTTATATATTTCATGGTAACGACAACATCGATTCTTCATCTTCCTATTGGTGGATTCAGTCAAAAAAATTTGATGAATGGTTTGACAAATATTATACACGACGAAGAAAAGAAACCGCTAAAACTCCTTTTGATGAACTGACCACTCACAATAGGCTGATCCGTTAACACCGATAGCCATCGTCGAAAAATTTGCCCCCGTCAAAACTTTTGCCAACCGTCGATACTTTTGCCACCTGTCGAAACTTTCGCAATTTTGCCTTTAATAAAAAAACTTGGCAAAACGTTTCGATGGGTTTCGATTTCGATGCCTGTCGAAACCTCGGGGTTTTGCCCGGCAACCTTAGGGGTTATATATCAATAATTATCACTTTATACTTTATCGGTAATTATCACATTTTATCTGCAATAATATATCGTTTAATGTTTTAAATCTAGCAAATTTATTTACAACCTTTATTTTCAAGAATAATAATATATTCTCTTGTAATAAAATCAATACTTAATGTAAATGCTAATATAACAAAAGGAGCTAATTTTAATTTATTTTTTTGCTAAAAAAAATTTCGAAACCTTAATATTATTAGATCATCGATTATAATTTTCGTAAACTATGGTAACGTGAATCCGGTATGATATTTTATGAATATCTTATAAAAACTCCGGTTAAGATTATCCAAGGTTTATTCTTTTTTGGTTATGATTTACTTGGCAGGAATTTAAGATCCGATGATTGACCGCTGCGCCATCATCGGCGTAACCTGTCTCACATTCCGGACGTGCTACAAAAAAAAACTAGTGTCCTTGTAACAAAAATGTGCATTCTATTCTTTAGACCAATGAATCGATCTGAATGTTTGATCCCAATAGAAATGTTATTTCACAGGTTTATTCACTACATAGCTTACATAAGTCCTATAGAAAAGTTTTTTTTAAATCTTTCCATCATCTAAATTGTGTATTTTTTTTCCCCCGCAACCAAATAATTTTTCCTAATTCTTTCCCTAATTTTTAGATTTTGCATTACGAAACGATTCTTTTCCTTTCTCATGACATCATCTTTCTTTTGGAATATCACAATTTGAAATTCCTCACATATTTCGCACAACGTATACTTTTAACTCAAATCTTTAACGCATTATTAACGCACACCTTTTATTCGCACCGCGCCATTTTATTTTCGATACATAATTTCGGTAATACATATAATAAAAAAAAAACGTTTTACAAAATTCTATGCTTGTCATATATTTTTTTTATTTTTTAAGGATATTTTGTAAATGTCGTAATAAATAAATTAAGTGTATGAAAGGTTTTAATAATGCAATTGGATTCAACTTACCCCGCTGTGAAAAAAAAAAATGATTTTGCAAAATGATAAAATAAATTTGTGCTGACAAGACGAGATTAATTCATGAATCAAAGAAATAACTTTCCAAACCACATAATGATACAAAGGACCATTAGTAGTTTTATAGTATTTTATAGCTTTACACAATGAATATTATAACAGGTCATTACATACAGCACATATAATAAAGCAAAAAAATTATCATTTTTATAGCTCATTACTAGCAAATAGATTCTTATACTTAATCAAAATAACATTTTCTTTGCCTCCGTTTACCTTTTTTTTTCAGCCCTCATCAAGATAATTTTCCTTGAAAATCAATTCTAACATAGAGTCGTTGGCAGTGTTGGCCTTTTGAACTAATTGACTTTTGGACCATTGGACTATTGGACTACTGGACTTAATCCGTTTCAATTCCATTAAAATTTGGACTATTGGACTATAGACTTCATCCAACAGCTATAAATTTATATAAAATTTATATTATGTAAATCATTTTTATTGATATTTTTTAAATAATTAGGTTCCCCTAAAAATATCTTAAAGTTTCCATTTAGAATTTTGATTTCTAGCAGGATGAGGTAAATTTGAAATAATTTGTAATATTAATTCAAGCTCTCTTTCACCTGAAAAATTCAGGTCAGGTCAGTAGAATCGTTCTAGTTAAACGAATTTATTATCGATCAAATTCTTAAGTTAGGCTAGCATTATAAATTTGACCAAAATTATATATTCATAGTCCATTTTGTATTTGAATTGGACTGGACATCATTTGGTCCAAAGTCCAATAGTCCATTATTGGGAATTGGACAAGTTCCAATGCCAACACTGATCGTCGGCGGTAAAGAATTAATTATCGGAATTAGATTCAGCGTTGTGGTGTGCCGGTGGAATTGAGATCGCAGAAATGGAGGGGATATTGACGGTACGGATTACAGGAATTAAAATAGTTGTATGTGTTGTTATTGGGATTCATTCTATTGCAGGAAGATAATATGGTTGGGAATTTCGAATTGGGCTGGTTCGACAGGAGAATATTGAGGAGTTTGGAGAGGAATACATCGTATTGGGTCTTTGGTAAAAATATCAAGTGTTCTAAGAAGGGAGCGATTAATTATCATTGGAATTTTGTTCGACGATAGGTGGTAAGGTCTAGGAAATCGATCCCTCGCAAGGAGAGGCGGAAGTAGGCGTAAAGTGTTTGTTTCTTTTTGTTAATATAAAAAAAAAAAAATAAAAAAAATAAAAATGATATGTGTCATAACATACGAAGCTTTGAATTTTCATAATTGATTTTTATTTTTATTTGTGAATGCAAGATCTTTTAGATTGAATGAAATATTTGTTGAAAGGAAGTTGAACAATAGAGAAAGTGCTTTTTCATGCTACTTTTATAACTAAATTATTTGTCG